CAGTAAAAGCAAGCAGTTACTTCATCACATCAGCAGCCAATCCCCTGGGAGCTGGCAGGTTCTCAGGTACACACCTCATGCCACGTACCCTGCAAATCCACACTCCATACTATGGTATGAAATGCTCTACTGAGGGGATTGGTGGGAAGACCCTTAACTAGCTTAACCTTTAAATCCCACAGATCAAAGACACCTTAGGGAATTTAGCCTTGGTGCAAACGGTCATACTACTCCTGAAAAAAAAACTATCCTTGCTATTTGCTTGAACTGTGTTGCACAAGAAAGTATTTCACAGTCCATTCCATACTGCAAAAAGGAGAAATGCTGTTCTTTTAACTCATTCAGGTTCTTCAATGAAAACAAGTGTAATCACACACACACAAAATCACCGTGACCATTCAGAACAGGAACTTTGCAGCTATGACTCTAACCACAGGGGTGGAAAAGGATGGGACTATTTCAAGAACTTGTCTCTTCCTGCAACAAGAATACAGCCTCTGGCAACTCTGGTCATCACTGGCTGATGATTATGCTGCTGCCCATGATACACAATTCAGTCATGGGCAGAACTCAGCTGTGACACGGCCATGGCAGCCAAGGCAGTGGGACACCTCAGGGAATTCTCCATCTTGCAATCCAGCTGGAAGGTACATAAATCCAACAAGGACAGCAGGTGAAATGGGGTAGTGATAAGATGCTGAGCCTGTCTGGATGTTTTCTTTGTGCTGATCATAGAGTAAAAAGCACTTCTGAGGCCTTCTCACTGAAAATCAGGAAGAAAAGAGGTGAACATTGTTACCTGTGAGGTCAGAAGGCACGAGATACTTCCTTTTGTCTAAGTCAGGTACTCTGGCTTTTGGTGCTTTTTCCACAATTACCTGGAGGAAGAGAGAGAGAGAGAGTGAGAGAAAGCAAGAAAACAAACATGAATTTCATAAAACAAAATGGTCCAAAAAGCATCAGTGAATATTATCCTTTGATGGTGCTACCAGGCCTTTAGCTATTTATTTAATCCATAACAAATACACAGCATTAAAGAACAGATAGGTGAGAAGATGACTTAAAATCACTAACACTAGCTGTCCTGGGAGCCCAGGACTGCAGCAGTAAGCACAGTGAGTGAAAAAAGGAGTCCAGCACAGACATAAAAATAAACCATAATGGCTGAGGAAAAAAAAATCAGGACACCTTGATGTTCCCAATTCAGGTTAATTTTGTATGAAGCAGCTGTCAGGAGGCCAATACATGAACACAAGAAGTATCACAAGTAAGTTAAACTTTCCAGGTTACAGTTCCAAACTGCCTTGCACAAAATCAGCCCTACTCCCAGTAGTCCCACATCCTAATTTCTACTTTCACCAATACCAAGGGCTCTAGAATGAAGAACTAAAGACAAACTACAGCTCATCGGGGAATTTATTTTAAAAATCTCCAGTTCCTCATTAGGTATCTTCTGCTCTGATATTCATATCCTGCAAATGGATATTATAGTGGATAATAATATGGATATTATCCACACCTCATACAGCTATGGACATTTCCTTATTTATATAAATATCTAATAATTAAACCCAGCCTACCATCTGGGCAACTGGACCCATAGAGACCTTTGACACAAAACACTAATCTTCATTATACTCTAATGTCATTATAATATAGGAAAATATGAAGCCCAACAGCCTTAAGGTCAAACAGACCAAGAGACCTTCTGCTACAAGTTAAGTTTTGTTAGCAGAGCTAGGCAAATATTTACCTCAGAAGCAAGAAGTATTCCAAAGTGATCTGACCTCCTTCCACTGGAACTACTGGGCTTGGGCAGAAAAAAATTGCAGGCTTCATTTTTTTTTTTTGTTGTGATATGTATTTTTAAACTGGTCAGAGTTCATGATTCCACCTGTGTGGCTTGCTGTTCTGCAGGGGCCATTTTGACCATGCAAACTAAATCTTAAAGGTGGATTTTACGAACTTCTTCAACTTTTTAATTCTGTTAGACCCTGTAATTGTAAATACTCCAACTGAGACACCGTGGGACTAATTCCTAAGGGTTCTGTGTTCCCACATCTCTTGCCTGTGCTCCATTTGAGTGTGGCCAACACAGCCAAACCCCCTGAAATTTCCAAGTTTGATTTTAAAATAGAAACACAGTTGTCTCTGCTACTTCAAGGATTTCAAGTACCTAAATTAGAACAAGGTATTCAAGCTCTTTCAGGCAGTTTGTGCTACAGGACGTGCATTTCTGTGCAAGATGCAGTTGGTAAATGCCTCGAAGGAATGACAGTTCCACAATCTCACTCAACAGGAAGACTTTGCACATTTTTTTTTTACCAGCACATCCAACCAGGCAGTATCTAACACAATAAACTGCAGTGGAGAGAAACTTTTAGCACTTGCCCCCAGTTAAAAAAACGACTGGCAAGCAGAACTGCTGGTTGTGATTGCCCTGACTCAGGGTGGCTTTGTCACCAGATGATAAAGGAGAACAAGTCATGCCTATGAGGAAGAGGTGAGAGTGTTGCTGGGGTTTCTAAGCCCCTGTGGAAGATTTAGGGAAGATTTAACTCAGATCACCACCGAGTTTAAGAGAGATCTCCCTCCTGCAGAGGCAGGGAAGGAGTGGAGGTGCCCTGCTAATCTGACTGGCAACTGTAGTCAGCGTGCCTGACAACGCAGGTTTATCTCTTCTGAAGCACTAAACCCTCCACACACACACACAAAACCCCCTACAAAGATAATCCAGAGGGCAGATATAGATTATCTGTGCCACTCCTGCTGGTGGCTGTGGTAATGCAGGGCCGTGCCAACAGTAAAATCTCAGCACAGTGCTGAGATGTATCAGGGCACTGCAGTGTGGGCAGCCAAACGAGTGACATCCACAAGGATCCTGCTGTCAGGAAGGGCAGAACAGGCTGCTGCATCCATTTGCTTCCTATGCAGCTCTGACTACAGGCTACCCTTAATAATTCCCCCCTGGGCCTTGCCATGCAGCATTTCCATTTAACCTTAACTACAGCACGCCTTGTTATTTTGGTCCTGGTTTTCTTAATAAAGGTCTGATGATGCCCCCCTGTCTTGACCTCCTTTACCTCTTGCCAGACCAGGCCTGGTCCTCGGCTCTTCCAGAGCTCTTTCAGACACGTTTATCATGGCCTGCTGCACAACCTGCCATGTTAATCCTCAATTTACAGCCTGTCTCACTTCAGACCTCGCAGGTCCTCACCATGAGACACCAAACCACACACACTTCATTATTGATTTACTCAATCTGCTATGCCATGGCAGGCATCCCATAACCAAATGCACCCAAATACTGACTTCCAAAAACTTGTTTCAAGTCCAGTTGAGGGTCACTTCCAAGATAAAAAATATTCTGTTAGCCTGTAGGGAAAACATGGGGTTTAGTAGCTGGTCCCCCTTGTCCTTAGCTTTACAGGAGTGTCTAAGTATTTTTGGCATGCAGTAAATCTAGGGCAGACTTCTCCAGTGGGGATGGAAAAGAAAAGACATTTGCAATAGGTTTATTAAAAAGGAAAAAAAAAAAGAACCAACCCAAACACGATTAATTAGATTTGTCATTTCTTCCCCCCCCCCCCCCCCCAATTATTGTTAATAATTATAAAGGCAGAAGTTTTCCACAGGCACGGCAATGGGGAATGAGGAAGCAAAGTTTAGCTGGATGACCTTGCATTCTGAGGGACATTTTGTCCACTGGGGCGCAAAAAGATTGAGAAGTATAATTTTTTTGCTCAATGCAAAGGAAAAGAACAAAGCAAGAATATATTGAAAAGACAAGCCAGGAAGCAGTAAAATAAAAATACAGGGAAATACGAGATGACACGGACACAGATGATGTTTCCTATGATGGATTAACCCACTCATTGTTCTCCTCCATTTTCACAGACCAGGATAAGCTCCTTCCCCGCTCATCACCACCACGCAGAAAAAGACGGGCAGCGTCTTCCCCGTCGAATTATTGCGGACCCCCCCCAAAAAAGGTGCATTGCACCCTACACCCCCCCAGCGCGGAGGTGGCCACCCCGCAGGGAGGGGAAAGCCGGGGATGCGGGTCAGGCCATCGGCAGCACCGAGCGCCTCTCGCCGCATTAAAGAACAATCCCGGGAGGCGCCGGCAGGGAGAACAAAGGCGGGGCCGGCGCTGCCCGCGGGAGCCCCCGCGCACTCACGGGCACTCTGTCCGGGTACTTCTTGCGGATCTTCTCGCCCTCCTTTTTCCGGTACTCGAACGGGTGATCCTCCTTGTACTGGAACTTCATGGTGCCGGGCTGGGCTCTGCCTCCGCTCCGAGCGCTGCGCCCGCTCCGTCCCTGCCCCGCGGCCCCGCCTGCCCCGCCCCCGCGATGACGTCACGGCGGCAACGCCCCTCCCCGTGACGTCACGGGGGAGGAGCCCCCGCTGCGGCCGGGCTGTGCCGCTGAGAGCTGTGACGTCACGGGGGAGGTGCCCCACAGAGCTCTGAGGCGGGAAGTCCCCCTTTGCTGCTCTGACGTCATGGGGAGATGCCCCTCTTCTGCTGTGACGTCACAGAGAAGTCCCCCTTTGTCGCTGTGACGTCACGGGTAGATGTCTCTCTGCCGATGTGATGTCACAAGGAGGTCCCCCTTTGCCTCTGTGACGTCATGGGGAGGTGGCCTGCAGGGAGGTTCCCCTTTGCCGCTGTGACATCACACGGAGGTCCCCCTCTGCCAGTGTGACGTCACAAGGAGGTGCCCCACTCTGATGTCACAGGGATGGTGCCCCTTTTGTGTCTGTGATGTCACAAGGAGGTCCCCTTTGCCACTGTGACGTCATGGGGAGTGCCCCACTGTATCTGTGACATCACAGGGAGGTCCCCTTTTGCCTCTGTGATATCATAGGGGTTCGCCCTTTGCTGCTGTGACATCACAGTGAGGTGCCCCCATTGTGCCATGGATTGCTGTGACGTCATAGGGAGGTGCCCCACTGCCTTTGTGACATCATGGGGAGGCCCCCCTTTGCCACTGTGACATCACGGGGAGGCCCCCCTTTGCCACTGTGACATCACAGTGAGGTGTCCCCACTGCCCATGTCTGTCTGTCCCAGGACATGTGGACATTTCCCTACAGTTGCCAGGTGGTGTCCGAGAATCCATCAGAAGGGGCTGTTTTTGTGCAGTCCAACAGGGAATAGCCTAAGATGGAAGGAATTCTGGTTTTGTGGCATTGCACCTTTCCATGATTCCTGTGTTTGGCCTCCTTGCTTCCTAACTGCTGGCAGCACAGCAAAGTGTATTCGAGGTCTGTGGTGATGTAGGTTTGTCCTCAAGGGCAAAAGAGAGGAACTTTCCTAGCCTGTTTCACCCAGGCCACCAACATGTCCTGGCAATTTTAACAGACTGACCTCGAACTCCCTTTGTCCCGTACATGGTTGTTTCCATCCCCAGGACTGCACACAAGGCAGCTGAGCCTTGTTCGGTTTGAACTGCTGATGACAAACCAGGGAGAAGCTTTAGGGTTCTTCCCTGTCCTGATGGAAAGACATGGCCTGTGAGTGGTTTGCTAAGTGACTTGTCCCAACAAATCCCACGTGAGGTGAGATTCACAAATCTTGCTGTTGTCTTCCTGCCCTGATGATGCAGCTCTGGATGTGCAGCCACCGGACTCGCCCCTCCTGCTTCCCCACTTCATCAGGCACCGAGTTCCCAGCTCTCCTCCAGCTTCAATAATAACAACAACATCACTGGAAAAACAGCAGGCAGGAAGATGACACGCAGGAGCCGTGACAAACAGCTAAACATCTGACTTGGAGTTATTAGAGTGTCATCCCCTGGGCATGTGACAAACCCCATGTTATGGATCCGTGTGCTAGAGGGAGGAACTGGAAATGGGGTTGGCACAACCCACAGGCTATCAAAACAATGTAGTTTTTCTTAACCCAGAGTGTCAGACCAGCTCTGAACACGTACTGTACTGCTGTGCCTGCAGCTCACACAGAGGGACATTCTGACAGGGATTTCCCAAGCGCTGCCAGTGCCGTAGCCATAGAAGCAGGAGATAAAAATATTTGCACAGAACCTGGGGGCAGGGTTTGCAGTCTGTGCTGTACCACACAGCGCTCCTGCCCAACAATACTGTTCAGCTAATTGTAGGTCTGGACTCCCCTGGATATTTCTTTCATTAGTACCTCCCGTGGGATACCTTTACTCCGTTTGTGCCTCCACAGGCTGGCTTTATCTGTTTTTAAGCCTTTGTTGTGGATTCAGCATATCAAAGCCTGTCTTTGTCAGGACACTTCTACTTTGTACTCTGAATGGGGATTAAACTACACATGGTGTACCTGGAAGCACTTGTGAATCTGTTCTGCCTGATGTCCATCCCTGCCTGGCGTCTCTCCCGTATCCCTCAAGACTGGTCTGGTGACTTCAGAGCCAGTCTGGACACATTGGTCTTGGATGAGGGCACAGGATTAGTCACTGCCACCAAACAATGTCTAATTGTGTGTATGTTTTCCTTTCCTCCAGAAAAAGACTCTGTGTTGTCTGTGCTGCCTCACTGCTCTATTTTTCTGCAGTTTCTTATTTTTCACAAAAAAAGCCACGCGTTCCTCCCAAACTTATTGTATAGCCCAGCCTCAGCTGAAGCGGCTTAAACTCCTACAAATGGTGTCACGAGGAGATTAAGGAACATACCTTGTGGCATAATGAAAAGCAGCAAATGACAGCAAAAGGCTTATCCTGCCTTTTCACAAAACACGTGATCTTTTTCGACTCTGTCCTCGTTTTTGGATTACTTCAGAGGAGAGAACTTTGAATTGTAGCAGATCTGCCAGCAAGAGCGAACTGTCTCCAGTTACCTGTGCCTGGTCTTTGCTTTCTTACACAACCTTCTATGTTTAAATAGAGTAGTCTGCTTCTGCTTTTTGTTTGTTTGTTGTAATCTGGTGTTTTATTGGCTCACCTGAAGTCAGTTTAGTAGGAAACAATCCCTGAGCAAGTGAAGTTATATCTATCATTATTGTCACTTCAAATACTTCAGATGTCTTGCCTGTAAAAAACCCCTTCAAGGTACCAGCATAGCACCTGAAAACTAGGAGTGAGACAAGCAAAGAAGGATGTGAGCAGATGGGAAGGGACTGGAGAGTTAGACATGGAAATCAGCAGGTAAAACAGCTGAAATCAGGTCTGGGTACAACTGCCCTGTAACTTTTCCCCCGAAACTGAAGAAGGAGGGAGCTCAGTTTGTTAGAACACCATGCTAAAAACACCAAAATCACGTTTGATCCCCACATGGACCATTCACTTAAGAGCTGGACTCAATGATCCATGCGGGTCCCTTCCAACTCAGAATATTCTGTGATTTAAAGACAATTAGAAAAATTCATAGAAGAAAAAAATCTCATAGAAGTTAAAATATTTAAGACAGTAGAGTAGAGGAAAACTAATAATTTAAAAAGGTCCCTTATCATTGCACGTATTAGAGAAAACATTGCGGTGTAATTATTATGGTAAACTGTTGAAAATGGAGCATTTCTGCGTTGCCAGGCAGGATTGCTGCCCTGTGGAGCGGGGCTGCCATCGTGTGTTAAATGCCTGCACAGCTCGGGCTTCGCAGGCTGGAGGTGGAGTAGGAACAGTCTGTTCCCTCTGGAAACGACTGTGAAAACTTCCAGGAAGTCTTCTGGGCTTGGTAGCACTTGACGCACGTTCAGCAGACTCAAATGTCTCTGCTTGCTTCAGGATTTCCCCGGGGAGTAAACAAGAGCCTTCCAGGAAATGTTCTGCAGCTTGGGGGACACGTCATGGGTGAACAGGACTTCAGAGAGCAGCTGATAAAGTGGGCCACTCGACGAGATGTTCCACAAACAGTTGCTATTATTATTATTATTTCAAGGCCAGGTTGGACGGGGCTCTGAGCAACCTGGGGTAGTGGAAGGTGTCCCTGCCCATGGCAGGGGGTCAGAACTCAATATTTAAGGTCCCCTCTAACCTAAACCATTCTATGATTCTGTGATTCAAGCATGCTGTACAGCAGAAGGGACATAAACTTATATGTCACTTCTTTATTTTTTCCATTTCACTTTATCACTCACTAATGACACAGCTGGACAATGACCAGACAATTCAGGAAGAAGTTTATAACCTCAGAGATCAAGACCCTTAGACACAAAATTCCTGTGACTGGGCAAGGTCTGGGACATCATCAAAGATGTTTGGGTTGTTCAGTTCAGCTTTATTCTATCCCTGAAGAGATCTTAGCAACCTTCTCTAAAATTTTCTATGGTTGATCTCAACAGCAGTTAGGTCCCTAAAAACATGTGGGACCCTGTCCTTGTTGGACCTTGTCCAACATTGTCCCATATTTTCTGTATTTCACAGGAAAGAGACCAGCATATTAGGGACAGTGAGAATTTGGGTGCTTCAGTAAGAAGGGCCATGCAGGTGTTTCAGAAAGATGTGATATCTGTGTCCTGGGCATTCATATCAACATTAACATGTACATCAATAAATTCATGGCTGCTTATCATTTGATATTTGATGTCCCTGTTTTCAAGTGCTGAACCTGGGGTAGAGACAACACTGATGTATTTCAATACTCACCTTCTCCCGACTGCCTAACCCAAGAAAACATTTTACAGATGGTCCATACCCATGTTCATCCAGTTTGATCAACATTTCTGGATGGTTCAGCATATTTGTATCGATCAGGAGAGACTCGCAAATTATTCTATCTGGGAAATGGCTTAAATGCTTCAAATGGTCTTACTTAAATTGGTCTGGTTTTGACAGCAACAGTGGGAATTAATAAATGATACAATATGAATGCAATTAAAAGATGATTGAACTTTATTTCAGGGGCAGTGTCCCTGCTCCTCCCCTTCTTTGATCTGTTGGCACCTATATAATATTTTTTAATTCAAATATAACAGGCTACTATTTCAGAATTGCTATATATCCTATCCAGAACCAGACTGTCTTCATTCTCTGTATCCTGGAGGACATTTGGGGCACATACTGCACAGAGTGTCTGTATATATGCTGTCTTTTGTTTACATGCAGATTGTTTTAAAAATGACTATAAATGTTTGGCACTTTCCAGAAGTTTGGTGTTATTTTTGGGTCTTAATAGACCTTCTCACATGTCTTTTTTTGCTTTGGTGCGATTTTTGTTTGTTTGGTTTGGTTAGGTTTCAGTTTTGTGTTTTGAAATCCTCTCTACCATCCCGAGGAAACTCAGGCTGGAGGCAGGAGGAATGAGATGCCTCTGCCACCACCCTGCAGGTCACTGGCCTGCAAAATGGCTCAGCACCTTGATTCTGCTGCCTGCTTATTTGTGCCAACTCTGCTGCTGGTGTTGTGTGCTAAGTGGACTTGGGGAATGCCAATGGCCAACCATGTCAAGGAGGTGTCAGAAAGAGGCGTCAAACTACGACAGCTCTGAAAATATTTTGAATTTTAGTTAGTTCCCCCCCCCAATCCTTTCTTGTTAGACTAAGGAAGTTAATCTGAGATTCCTAACCCTGCCAGATGAATTAGTCTCTGCATGTAACTGTTCCATATTATTTGCCATGAGTTAAAACCAGACACTAATGTCCTGGGAGGGCTGGCCGGGCATCTTTGCCCTCAGCAGGTGCCTGCAGCTTTTCCTCCGGCACGGGATCCAGGTCTGGCACTTTCTGGCCCACCTTGGCCACCGTGAATCTGCTCATGTGCAGGGCTTCTTCATACACCGGGGGAGTGTCCGACCCGGAGAGGGGTGGTGTTCCCTGGGCAGCACTGTGGGAATGTGCCACTGCTAATATCCTCCTGGCAGCAGGCCCAAACACGGAGTGGAGAGCTGGAAGGGAGGAGACAAAAGCTGTTTGCCTCATCCTGAAAGCATCATGTGATCAGGGAGCGCATCTGCAGTGCACAGGCTTTTCTCCCCTTATAGCCTGAGTGTTTTCCTTTTCCTGCCCCTTCAGCCTTCCCTAAAAGGAGTGTGTGTGAAACCCCATCAATAACATCCCACAATTACTCTCTCCTGAAATGCCACTGAGACCTGTAGCTGCCCTAATTCCACTCAAACGTGTCACAGGGCTGATTCTCCATCTGGCTGCATTTGCTACAAGGAGTGAGCACCTCAATTTGTAGGATGTACAGGTGCTGCTTTCCCTCCATCCTGCTATGAACTTCCCTCTGTCAGCCTTGGGGTGTCACAACCTGGGCTTTTCAGAGTGCAGCCCCTCCCTTGGTGGTGTGTTGAAGTCCCCAGCACCCCTCAAAGCCAACTCACAGGTGATGGTGCTCTGGAGGGTGCTGTCGTGGTCGAAAGCGATGACGGTGACCTCGTAGGGCTGCGGCCCCGACTCGTCCCCTGCCTGATGGCACTGAAAACAGCACCTCACGCAGACAGACACCACACCACACAGGAGCAGGAGCCCACCAATCACCACCACCACCCTGGAAAGGGAGGGGACACAGAATTAGGACAGAAAGGTTTTGTTTGGAGGACACGTCCTAACGTCTCTCACTGCTAAAAGCGTGGCTGGACCTCAAAGCTAAACATCTGCAGCCTTTTCCAGCAGAGTTTGACATTCCCCAGGGATGCAGATCCCTCATTCCCTCCAGGCACCTGTTCAAGTGCTGCACCAACCTCAGGGGAAGCATTTTTCCTTCTGTCTAACCAGAATTTTCCTGTCTGCAGCTTGGCCAGCCACCTCAGGTGCTTCTGGTGAGCACCTCTGAGAAGTCTCTATGTCTTGTCTCAAGATCCCCCTTAGGTAGTGGAAAACTAAAATTAAGCTGCACTTTTGGCCTCCTCCAGGCTGAAGAAACCTCGTCCTTATTACTGGCTCTCCAGCGGACTTTTTTCAGTTTGTCAGCATCTCTTTTTTACTGGGGGACCAAAACTGGACTGGTCATGAGTGAAAAGCAGGAAGGAAAAATTGGATCTCACAATCTTCTGGCTATGCTCTCTCTCTCTTTAAAAAAATATTATATATATACATAAAATAATAGATTGTTAATTATTATTAATTATAATTACATATTATATATATATTAATGCAGCCTTCTAGATGTTCAACAACTACTGTCCTTTTTAATCTCATCCCAGTGAGAATTACTAAGGAATTAGACTGAAATGATTTAAATAATGGGTCTTTTAAAAGGCATATTGTGCCATGAATGCTTTATTACTGTTGTTCATACACTTAAATTAATATGTGGAATAAAAAAGGAGGCTGGTAAGTCAACATTTGTTAAAGATGATGGGGTAGCTAAGGGGCTGCCTGGCTACTATAGAGCATTAGAGCATCCGAAGGGGAAGTGGGGAGTGGCACCACACTTGAGCAGGTCATATTTAATCCCACTCTTTGCTACTGGAACTGTCTAGAGATGCAGATATTTAGAGTAAAAGTATGTTATCTTACCAGATATACCACAAACGGTCCCACTCTGTGCCTGCACAGCTGAAGAGAAGAAGGTACAAAAAATAGTTATCCACGGAATGCCAGACAAATGGGAAGATCCCTGTGGCACCTTCTTCCATCTCCCCTCCTGCTCCTCCCTTATTGTCCAGCTCCCAGGTGGCACAGTGATGAGAAACTCATTGTCCTTTGGGGAGGATACACTTGTCCAACCTCATCAATCTCCCTGTAGGTGGGTTTCCCTTCTGTTTGGCTTTGTCTCTTTATTGCTCTCCTGATATTTATGCCTGCCCAATTCCATTTGCAAATTAGAGACCTGCATTCACATTTGTTTTGTCTTTTTTTGACAGTATATAATTATTTTGTCATTCTTACAAAGGGCATCACTGGCAGTGATATTCACCAAAGCAGTATACTTCAAAGCATTTTTTTTTCAAGCAAAGTTCAGTTCCAAATTCATAATCTCGGTCAATTGAAATTACATCAGAAAGCTCTTAACTATTGCAGTTGTGCAAATAGGCAGCAGGAATGTTACCATACGATCAGTATGTTGATCAATAGAAGTAGTGATTAATACACCACATTCAAAGCAATGATAATTTTACATGAGTATTTAATACTCACAATTAAATAACTTTTTCTGGAAAATGTCAACCATCAAGTCATAACATTCATGTCCACTACTGCCTTTGTCCTTCACTGTTTTCTCAAAAAAACCAGCAATTCTGACAAATACTTACAATTCAGTATTGAGGCAGCCTTCCTCACCTCTTACTTGGAGGAACTACAAAGGATAAAACAAAAAAAGACACAGCTAAGGGAATTAAATCTTTGGTCTTTGCAATTTTTATCTCTGTTATCTGGACCATTACCAGTCTGAATCTCCTATGGGAAGGACTTCTTGTTATGCCTCTTGCATTGTTTCCATCCTGTATTCTGCTGCAGATCTGAAGTTACTGTGATACCAACTGCATTGTTTCATACCTGAACTTCCTGTAGTCAGTAAAATCCTGTTTAGTACTGTTCCCACCACAAACCCTCTCTTGCCTTCATCCTCACCACAACTTTCCCCGGAATAGCAGCAAATATTGTCTTCCATGCCTTTTATATATCCAGTCCTTTCAAACATCAGGGAAATTTTTTGTGCTAATGGCCCTCCATCTTTCCAAGGTAACTCCAGACCCCACAAAGAGGAATGTGAGCTGTGACTTACCCATAAAGAACATCCCAAAACAAAGCAGATCATGTCTGAGCTGTGCATTCCCGTGAGGTGATTCTGTGGCCTCTTGGTGTCTCAGGCTGCTCAAAGTCTTCTTGTCCTTCCCAGTTTCAGTTCATCCTCACCAGCCCAGCGACCAGGAGAAGGAGCAGGTTCCGTGTTGTGTGTTGAATCCAGTCTCTTCTTCCTACTCTACCCTTTTCTGCCCTCTGCCCTTCAGGTTTTTGCTTTTTCTCTTTCCCTCTTTGTCACTGGCAATTCCTGATCGTTTCTGCCTGTATCTTTTTGTTGGCCTGTTCCTCTCCCTGTTTTGAAGGGATTTCTAAAGCCCTCCAGTCAGATCAGGAGAAGAGCAGTAGCTACAGGTTCTGACTTTAGATGTTGAACTAGTTCAGTGAAGGGCATCGTGAGATCTCTGCAGACCTTCCTTCCCTTCTAGGAGCAGAAAGGGTCTCTGAGTTTGTTCATTCCCAATTATTTCTCTCCCCGCCCCTACCCTCAGGGGAGTGGGTTGAAGGTCGTGTTGTTGACCTTTTTAATTGGAGTTCAGATTCCTCTCCCTCCTCCAGTACCTTTTCCGTCCTGGCACTCACATTGTCCTACCTGTGTGGATCCAATCTACTGACTTTGAAGTGAAAGAATTTGCAATATAATAAATATATATAGCATTTTATATATATGTAGTTACAGGTATATGTGTAGATCTATGTATGTATGTATATACATATATATATATATATAAATATTCAGCACCTCTTCTACCTCCCATTTTAAGGCTCTGCCACCATCCCTCTTACCTGGTAGCCTCCTGCTATGTCAGTCCTGCAGCTGAGAGTTTTCACTCCCAGGTCCCTCTCCC